TATCAGACATCATTTTCTATCAAAACACTGAAATAAATTCATGATACGAAGATATCTGTAAAAGAGATATGGTTCAGCTTTGGTCAAATTAGGCGCATTTGCCAGATAGCCCGTAGTGAAAACGGCTAATACCTATACACCATGAATTTAAATTCCATAAACTCCCATCATCTACCTAATGTCAGCTTTGTATTACAATTTACAAGTAATGTTTGTTCATGTATGAAAGTATCTAAAACGAATCATAGGTGTCGCCAGATAATTTGGGTTGGGCGGGAAACTCAAATTTGGTGTTCAATCTTGCTTTCTACATTCTTGATTCTTTACTCATTCGGTTTATAGATCATTCATCACTCCATGTAAAAAAGGGTAGCTGCGACTTTACATGCTGCGACTTTTTATCAACCGATAACCAGCAGACCCTGCATGGTTATCGCTTGATTAAGAGTCGACTCGAATACACCCGATTTTTTATTTTATTTTTTAGGTACCTATCCTTCCATTCGTTTGATGATTCGGCCAATTAAAACATGTCAAGCCCTTGGGTTACAGTCATGCATATTGCATACCTTTAGGACTTAGGTATATGTGACATGACATTTTGGTGATTGAAATCAAGCTGGAGAAAGAGAAGTAAGAGTCTATGATAGTTTAAGCACATTGATTTATTGAAAACGTTATTTCATCCCACTGGCGATGTTAAAACCAGTAAAACGCCTTTTGGGCGAAGAACGAGCGAGCGAGATAGTGAGCCCTGCACGTGCAGAAGGGCGAGAGGGTACTTCCAACGGGCTTGTGCAAAGCACCCTTCTAACCGGTCGCTAGCGGTGTACCAAATTTGAGCGCAATCGGCCCAGCCGTTCCTGAGATCTGGAAGCGGCATTCTGCACGTGCGCACGTGCAAACGGGGTCCAAAATGACTTTTGCACGGCACCCTACTAACCGGTCCCCAACCGTGTACCAAATTTGAGCGCAATCGGCCCAGCCGTTCTCGAGATCTGGAAACGCCCCCTGCACGTGCGCACGTGCAGTAGCACCCTAACCGCAACACATGGGAATGCATTGCCTGGTGGGTGCCTACCTGTATGCCAAGTTTCAGCGAAATCGCCCCAGTAATTACCGAGTTACTGAAATGGGAACAAATTTGGCACCTCTTATTGTTGTATTTTGCACGTGCAGTGGGGGTCACTCACATAGATGAAGAGTATCCGACCTTTGGTAGAAGGGATGCAGCTACCCTATAAAAATGACCGCAAGACAATCGCTCAAGCCGCTGATGAGATATGGGCCTCTCAAAATCATTACTTTTGCAAAACTGCTTGAACACCCTTGACTTTTCACGTGGCACGTGCCACGGCGGTCACTGAGATGTATCAAAAGTAGTCAATTACGGGGTAGAAGGGATGGGGCTACCCAGCAAAAAAGACCCCATGCCAATCGGTCCAGCGGTTGCTGAGATATGAGCCTCTCAAAAGCGTTACAGGCCGGGCCGGGCCGGGCCGGGCCGGGCCGGGCCGGGCCGCTCATACTGAGATTTTTCCGTTATATTGAAAAGACTCACTTCGCTCGCTGCGCTCGCTCGCTCGTAATGATTATGATGACTCGCCAGATTGCTGCGCTATCGATTCGAGCAGATGTTTCTCGAAATGTGTTGGTACTGTAAATGCCGAACAGTCATTTGCAAGTGGTTAGTGCGAAAGAAGGCTCGTCACGTGAGACATCCATATAAATTTGAATTTGGGTTACCAATGTTATCTACGTCTTTTTACTGTTTTTCGAATTTTAAGTTTAGTTAGACTTATCTTTGTTTAAGTTGAATAAGAAACGATAAGAAACGGACGAACGAACTGAACTGAACATAACGAAGGAAACGAAACGAAAAATCAAGATCGTACGAAACTACGAACTGTCAAGTTATGTCAAGTGCGCTTTTGGACGTGGCTTATTTTATCGTGACCTAGTTGGGTTTCATAAGGTATTACCTACTTAAATTTCAGCCTTGTCTGTCCGAAACCTTTGTTACCAGCAATACAGTATTTTCAGATTGTTTTTGATTGCGGTGTTGACAATTAGGACAAGAGCTGAAACAGTCAAAGTTCGTTTCGACGTTCGAAGTAAGGGTAACGTAAAGTAGTTGTAACCGGTAACTGTAAACTCGAACCTACCAGGTCCTAAAGTAATTAAATTATGTCTGGAAGATCACGAAGTGTTAGTAGCTGTGGCAGTGAAGGGGAGGTGGACCATTTATCTGTCTCCTCCCAATCGTACGCAAATTCTGAACGCATTCGTGAAGCTGCCATAAGGGCGGGCTTGGCGGCCAAGCTGGCAGTTATGGAAGAACTGCATGCTCTCGAAGACGCCGAAACCAAAATTAGACAGCGAAAAGAGGAAATGGAACTTAAGCTGCAGTTAGAACAAGCCAGGGCGAAGGAAGGGGTTTTTGAAATATTCAGTCGAAAGAAGTACGACGAAAATCTACTGACGAACGAACGAAACGATTACGATGATCGAGGCGGACTTTCGACGAAACCGACTGAAATAAAAACCGAATTCCAACCAGCCGAACCGAATCTACACGAAAACCCCACTGCGAGACAAGGTCCATCCATAGAGAGGTCAAGTATCGAGCTGGTCAGAAAGATGCAACTGCCTAAATTACAGCTCCAGCCGTTTAACGGGGACCCTACTCTATACACCAACTTTATACGGGGATTTGATGCCAAAATTGCTTGTAGAGTTGAAGATGAAGAAGAAAAATTGTATTATTTAGATCAGTACACAATTGGGAAGCCAAAGGACATTGTTTCGTCCTGTTTGTATATGCCGCCCGGGGAAGGCTATGCTGAAGCGCGACGACTCCTTCAAGAGCGTTACGGAAATGTTGTTCAAACGGTGGCTTATATGATCGAAAAAATTGTTTTGTGGCCATCTATCAGATCCGAAACCGATGATTTAGACAAGTTTGTGATATTTCTGAGAGGCACTTGGAATGCGTTGAAGGCTATGCCACAAGGGATTAACGAAATCGATTCGAAAACGATACGAACGATTTCAGATAAACTGAACCCGTCGATAAAGGATCGTTGGCGGCGTCTGGTCGACCGAATCGAATACGAAGAAACCCGCATCGCGACCTTTGCCGACCTGGTAAAATTATTAGAACGAGAAGTACGAATCAATATGAATCCATCTTACGGTCAACAATTTGATAGTCAGATGTATGCTTCGTTGGCAGCATCCTCTTCGTCGGCTTTACCCTCTCACTCCGGAACAAGACCTCTTGATAGCCTTAAATCCACAGTTTCAGCCGGTGGATGCGAGGTATGTGCGCAAGGACATCCGATTCATGAGTGTCCGGAGTTTTTGCGCTTGGAGCCAGATGAACGGAAGAACTTTATATTGAAACAAGGGCTTTGTTTTGGGTGTCTAGGCAAAGGGCATATTAGTAAAAATTGTCGCAATCGCCAAACATGTCGCATTTGTCAGGGAAAGCATCCTACGGTTCTACACATCCAAAAGGATTCCCGAGAAGTAAAGCCAAGCGCTATTACATCATGTCATTTGTCAGCAGATCAGTTATGTCACATGGGAGCTAAATTGCCGATCGTTTCTGTATTGGTGAAATTTGGAAATAAGGAATTACGGACAAGCGCCTTTCTCGACTCGGGAAGTACACATTCATTCTGTTCGGGGAAACTTTTCGAACAATTGGGTGTTGTGAGGAGGAATCGCATCGCTTTAAATCTTACCACCGTGGATCGTGAACGCCAACTTGAAGGATACGTAGTTCAAGGATTACGCATGACCAATGAAGACCGCAGTTATCCTGTAGACCTCCCCCCATTGTTTACATTGGACCATATTCCAGTGTCGGAAGATGACGTCGTTCAAGTTAATGATTTAAGTTCGTGGGACTATTTGGCGCAGAGTGACATCACACTGTACGATGGCAAAACTGAAGTTGGTTTACTACTCGGCAATGATTGTGGGTATGCCATGGAGCCTCTGGAAGTTATACCGAGTAAAAATGGAGGGCCCTACGCCATTCGTACTAGGTATGGATGGATCGTTGGTGGAGCACGGAAGCAGAGAGCATCGATGAGGGTCAGTAATATACTAGTGAGGAACGTAATGAATGGACAAGAGATAGGAGATAATTTAGCAGACTCTCGGACGGCATCATCTGTGGAGGACGGGCTTTGGCTAAAAAAGGTGGCTACAACATGCCGGCGGCGTGAAGGTAGATACGAGATCGGCCTCCCATTCAGTAGCGACAAGCCGATGCTTTCAAATAATTACGGGGTAGCACGGAAGAGGCTCGAGACTCTGAAGACTAAATTTAAGAAGTGTGCATCTTTTGCGGAAGACTACAAGAGACAAATGAGAGAACTCATAAGTAAAGGCTATGCGGAGAGAGTTCATAAGAACCCTGATTATCGAATGGGACAAGGTCCTCGCTGGTATCTACCACATCATGGGGTTTATCACTCGCAGAAGCCAGATAAAGTAAGAATCGTTTTCGACTGCGCCGCAAGGTACACCAATATATGTCTGAATGACGTTCTGGCACAGGGTCCAGAATTAACCAACTCTTTGATGGACGTGTTGCTCCGATTCAGACAGGAAGAGATAGCCTTCACAGCGGACGTATCTGAAATGTTTTTGCAAGTTAATGTCCCAGAAGCCGATAGAGATTATTTGAGATTTTTGTGGTGGCCCAATGGTGATGAAAACACGCCCCCAAGAGTATATAGAATGACGGTGCACATTTTTGGCGCAACGTCTTCCCCCAGCTGCGCCAACTACGCTTTACGCAGAACGGCTGACGATTTTGGCTACATATTCCAAACGGAAGCAGCGCAAACTATTTTTGACAACTTTTACGTTGATGACTGCTTAAAATCTGTAAAATCGGAAAAAGAAGCAATTGATCTAATACGAGATCTTCGGCAGCTTTGTGACTTGGGCGGATTTATTAAGTTCGTGAGCAATCGTTCGTCGGTGTTGGAGACGATTCCCCTAGATCATCGCTCAAAAAAGGTGAAGGAAATCAGGCTCGGAATCGATCAACTCCCGGCCGAGCGCGCTCTTGGCGTACATTGGGATGTTGAAGCCGACACACTGGGCTTCAAGGTCGACGTTAGCACGTTTCAAGACAGGCCATTGACAAGGAGGGGACTATTATCTGTGATCTCAGGGGTATATGACCCGCTCGGGCTGGCGTCGCCATTCGTTATGCGAGGGCGATTGCTTCTTCAGGAGTTATCACGCTTGAAGATAGATTGGGATAGCGATATTCCATACGACTTTCAGAAGGCTTGGAAGTTATGGTTGTGTGAGCTAGAAATACTAACGAAATTCCGAGTACCCCGATGTTTCAAAGCAACTAAGGAAGACACTGCATTGGAATTACATTATTTTGCGGATGCTAGCGAGAAGAGTTATGGTGTGGCAGCTTATGTAAGGCAAGTGGACAGGCATGGCGATGTCATGTCTTGCTCCTTGCTCATGAGCAAGTCCCACGTGGCACCCCTGAAGAGTATCAGTATTCCTCGCTTAGAGCTCTGTGCGGCCGCGCTAGCTGTCAAAACGAACTTTACGTTGGAACGCGCACTGAGTGTCCCGATTATGGCTGTACATTTTTGGACGGACAGCACTACTGTTCTTAAATACATCCGAAATGTAACAGCAAGGTTTCAGGTATTCGTGGCAAATCGACTGTCTATCATACACGATGGATCTTCAGTTCAGCAGTGGAAGTACGTGCCGTCGGCTCACAATCCAGCGGACGTCATAACTCGTGGACAAAAGGGAGAAGCGTTCCTAGACAATGAGATGTGGAGGCGCGGTCCATGTTTCCTATGGTCGAACTCATTGCCTGCTCAGCCTAAAGAGGACAGCTTACCGCCCACGGATCTGGAATTCAAGAAGGTGTCAGTCGCCTTAACGACTCAAAGGCAGCCAGATATAGATCCAGTAAGTCGGCTGTCGGAACATTATTCGTCATGGACGGGACTGGTGCGAGGTGTCGCTTGGATTCTGAAAGTTAAAGCGGCACTGAAGGTAAATGAGCCCAGATCGAGCGGACGGTCAGAGTCAATGAGACTGACTCTGCAAGACATCCAAAACGCAGAGAGTGCGATATATAAAGCTGTCCAGCTCATTGCGTTCCCACACGACGTACGATGTCTCTCACTCGGTGAACACGTATACAAGATAAGTAAATTATCTCGATTGAGCCCATATCTGGAAAATGGGCTTATTCGTGTAGGAGGCAGACTCACTCGCTCCAATTATATTGACCGTGAAAGCAAGCATCCAATTATCCTTCCCAGCAAGACCAGAACTACTGAGTTAATTATACGGCATACACATGAAATCGCTGGTCACGAAGGACGTCACCACGTTCTATCCGATTTGAGGAGGAAATTTTGGGTATTGAGAGCCAATGCTGAAGTGAGGAGGGTTTTAAACGATTGCATTGCATGTCGGCGACGACTCCGCCCACCAGAGTCACAGAAAATGGCCGATCTTCCGGACGAGAGGCTACAATTTCGTCAGGCTCCTTTTTCGGTAACGGGAGTCGATTGTTTCGGTCCGTTTTACGTAAAACGGGGAAGAGGTCAGCTGAAGAAGTACGGTGTAATTTTCACGTGCATGTCCATTCGAGCTGTTCATTTGGAAATTATAGAGAGCTTATCAACAGACTCGTTCATCTGCGCTCTTCGGCGTTTCATGTCACGCAGGGGGCAAATTCGAACAATCATATCTGATCAAGGTAGAAACTTTGTTGGTGCCAAGGAGCTTGGAGCTGAGGAAGGAACTAAAGGCATTGCTGAACGATCGAAATCGCTTGGAGGATGATATGTCAAAAAAGGGCATTCAATGGAAGCTGAATCCGCCAGGGGCATCTAGGTTTGGGGGAGCGTGGGAACGGCTCATCAGAAGCGTCAGAAAGATACTGGACGCACTCATCGACCTCCAACCACTGACAGACGAAACACTGCAAACGCTTATGTGTGAATTGAAGCCATCATGAATAATCGACCTCTCACCCCGGTATCAGCTGACCACCGTGATCTAGAGCCGCTGACACCAAATCATATCCTTCTTCTTCAGGGAAAATCAGCAGACCAGATTTGTTTATGCACTGGCGACGAATTGATCGGTCGAAAAATGTGGAAGCAAGCTCAGTACCTATCGGATCAGTTCTGGCTTAGATGGCGAAGGGAATATATACCACTGCTTCAAACAAGACCCGGGCCATTGACGCGTTCGAGACCTAACCTGACTCCTGGAGACATCGTGCTATTGATCGATAACTCCGTACCCCGGGGACAATGGCCACTTGGAAGAGTAGAACAGGTACGAAAGAGTCGTGATGGTCTGGTGCGCTCGGTACGTGTCAAGACGAAGAGTTCTGTCCTGGACCGACCCATCACAAAGCTGGTAAAGATTGTTGACGTAGAATGGCGCTCAACTCAAGACTCCTGATTGCGACCTCTCGGTCTTGCAATGGGGGAGAATGTAAATGCCGAACAGTCATTTGCAAGTGGTTAGTGCGAAAGAAGGCTCGTCACGTGAGACATCCATATAAATTTGAATTTGGGTTACCAATGTTATCTACGTCTTTTTACTGTTTTTTCGAATTTTAAGTTTAGTTAGACTTATCTTTGTTTAAGTTGAATAAGAAACGATAAGAAACGGACGAACGAACTGAACTGAACATAACGAAGGAAACGAAACGAAAAATCAAGATCGTACGAAACTACGAACTGTCAAGTTATGTCAAGTGCGCTTTTGGACGTGGCTTATTTTATCGTGACCTAGTTGGGTTTCATAAGGTATTACCTACTTAAATTTCAGCCTTGTCTGTCCGAAACCTTTGTTACCAGCAATACAGTATTTTCAGATTGTTTTTGATTGCGGTGTTGACAATTAGGACAAGAGCTGAAACAGGTACGATGCATCTGTTTAAGTGTTCACCCATGCAGCGTTCAACCATGACTGCAGTAAAAAAGCTTGGAATCAACTCACAACTGACTACGCTTTTATTCACTCATTTAGCCTAAACAAAAATACATTATCATACTGTGTATGATGCACATTGCACAATGCACTAACGTTATGCTGTATTACGCCTCAGTTTTAGCTAGCAGACGACCGTCATTGCTTTCAGACGATGGTTCGGAAGTTGGGAGCTCGTTGACATTCTCACCAAGTTTTTAGAACATTTATTTGCAATCCGGACCGCCAGCGTTGATTTGAAGTGGAAGCAATCAACGGGGATAAATAGAGAAAGGCAACCATTTCCGCTCATCTCTCATCGCTTCCACATGAGTCAGCTCGTTTTCTGATATTGTTTTACAGTCTTGTGTTTTGAGCTACATGATGTGTTTTCCAAAGTGGAACGGAAATCCACCACTTGTTCCTATTGCTGAAATGCCGGTGAGTGGTGACATTTGAAAACACCACAGGACGTTTCCTAATTAGCATTGCACGCTATTTTGACGGAGTGTGAACCGGGTTTATCCGTTATTGTATAGTGTTATCCTTAACAAATATAAAACTATTTTGTAGGTAGTAGGAGATGAGACAAAACGCAAAAAAAAAACGTCAACATTAGCTTTCCATCAAAGCACTATAGTGGGATGAATTGAAGGGCAATTAGGTACCATTTGCAATGAATCAACTATTCAGAATTAACATCAGTACAATTTAATGATACAACTTCAAAATGGCCGACTAAAGATTAACACCTCAGCCTAAAATTTGAGAATATTTTCATGAAAATATTACGCTGAAACTTACCGAGGGACTCTGCTAGGGTCCATTCCTTCTCCTTCACCCCACTGTTCCACCGTGGCCTTCTTGTTTCGTCCGGTTCTCCATCTATCTTGTCGAAGTCTAATGTCTGTCTTTTAACTTCAATCAGCTACCAACCGACAGGATTTCAGAGTAGCACATGGCATTGGATACAGCCTCGGACCCTTTGACTCCGGAGTTTGAAGTTCATAGTATAAAATGGTATGAGGCCGAATTATTGCACGTTTTTTCATAATTTCTACCCCTTTGTTGTTCCAGTCTGTGAGACCTGTGTGGGTGCCGTAATGCCTATATGCACGTAATGCCGTGATTACACGCGGTGACATCGACCGGCGACTGTACCGCCGCGCACTCTGCGGTCTAATGCGAATGTCAATCATTCACAGCCGTGCTGATATCGTCCAATCGCAGACGTGCATAAGCCACGATAAGGAGTGACCGCCGGCGGCACTGTCATGTCCCGGGGCCGGCCGATTTCCGTAATGAAGGCCTGTCACGCCATCGTCTCGTGAAGTCGTTGTACTGCCGACATCGCGTCGCCTCATGACGTTTCCTGGGAGTGGGTGACGTACGAGTATGTAGGTGGACAGGTACTGTCAGGTATTGAAGGAGCTGCTGATGACCCTGTCATAGCTCAGAGATCGGCGACTCAGGTAGCAGCCTCCGGCCCGTGTGGCTCACAAGTCTGACTGCTCCATGTTTGTCCGACACCTGTGTGTAACTTAGGGTGGTGTGTCGCTTTAATCGGCCCCTATGCCCATCCTTCTGACCGTCCCATGTCTCCTCGGCGTGTGACAGGCTGGTGTGCCGCTGTGGTTGGTCCGTATTCCCATCCCTCCCAGCTGTCCCGTGCGTTCTGTGACAAGCTGGTATGCCGCTGTAGCCAGCCTCTATACCCTGGTTCGTATGTTCTCTTACAGAATGCGTGTTATGTTGCAGTCGGTTCGTTCGTATACTCATAATTTCCTCCTGACTGTCTCGTGTGTTCTCTGTCATAGGATGCGAGTTACGCTGCTGCTGGGGTGTCTGGCAGCGCTGTTTCTGCTGGTGAGAGGAGCACCGACCGTCTGCCGGCGAGGTATCCCCACCGGCTACAATGTGGCGCACGGCTTCGGAAAACGGGCATCAGCACCGCAACGTCTACCATTCAGACGATTGTGAGTATAGACGGCAAGAAAATAAATAAAACGATTTTATTGTCAGGGGCTTATTTGATGTTTCATAGAAAACAGCACCTGTTGAAGTAAGTTAGATGTTCTGGGCCCTAGTTCTGCTAATGTGCAGTGTTTGGGCGTTTCACCCGTTCTCTCTCTCTCTCTCTCTCTCTCTCTCTCTCTCTCTCTCTCTCTCTCTCTCTCTCTCTCTCTCTCTCTCTCTCTCTCTCTCTCTCTCTCTCTCTCTCTCTCTCTCTCTCTCTCTCTCTCTGTCTCTCTCCCTCTCTAGTCACTAATACACCACCCATAAAAAAACGTTTCGTCTTGCAACAATTATTTATCTGCCCGCCTAATCACTCTCTAACAGGACCTCCCCTGTCGGCAGATGGGAGCTGACGGGGAGGCCCATACACCCCTACGGCCGACTGGGGGCCTCACTAGGCGTTCATCGAGTGCCCGCGCTGGGACTGAACGGCGCTCCGGAGGACGGCATCTGATGACCGAGGCAGCTCGAAGGTCGAGAGGGGTGGCTCGGCAGGTTGGAGCGCCGCCACTCTGTAGCTGAACACGTCGCACTCTCGGTGACAAAGCTGGCGCTGATGTTTCAGACAAGGTGACTCAAAGCCTGTCCTAGATTATAAATATTCAGATTATCCGTGGAACGCTGTGCCATCATTCGCAGCTATCTGAGTGGCAGGGCAGGAGCTCTGAATGAGTCAGCACCTTGGTGAGGAGGCGGGCCAAGCTGCACGGGCTATCGCCGGTGTAGAGTGTGCGTAGGTGGGTGTTGCTCCTCAAAATTTTAACTTTGTTACTCGTTCTTTTGTCCCTTCAAAACACGACCCAAGGTTATTCTTGTTCCTCCGTTATCTTACGTAAAATGTAACGGAAGCTGCTTAATCCGTCATTCCGTTAGGTATTTACCACATAAAAACCACATTAGAAATGTAATATATTTCATACGTCTCTGAAATCAGTACAGCTAATAACTAATTCCATCGAGACAGCAGGCCGACGACGCTCGTCGGCCCGTAGTCGGCTCGTCAGCCGTCGGACTGAAACCTCTGCGCTCGTCGGGATGGGACAGAGGACCGACATGAACCATGGAACCAGTGAACGGAGGGTGGAGACGATTGACGTGCCCCGGGACGACAGGCTGTGTGACGAAGGGCCGGCCGCCTGGAGGAGTCTTCTGTCCCATGACTGATGAGCTGGGACGCCATTCCAATGGCAAGGCAACGGACCGGTATATGTACCGCGAACAGATGACACTCGGATAACCCGTTGGAATACAAAATCCACGTCGTTTTTGCTGCCACGAAAATTGGCGATTAGGCTAGTCCAGCTTCCTTGGATTACCAAAATGACGGCAGAGAAATGGAAGAACAGACTAAGTCTTATACAGAGGAAAGGATCACTAATATGTTAACGATGTGAAGAGTTATACGGCTCTCGGGAGATTAAGCGGTAGCGATCTATTTTATTTCGTAATTTTCGGAGCACTTTAATTTTTTATTTCGTAATTTCGGACTTCGGAGCTACTTGATAAGCGGTAGGTTTGGCACTTTTACATTTCCGGCTATATCTCAGAAACTAATTGATCTACGATGAAGCCATTTCACACGATCATGGCAGGCTTGTTACCCAACAAGTCGATCGCATCTTCAACACTCAAAAGCTTAAGACGAGGAAGATATAGCCTGAAGTACACTAAATTTTCTAGGTGCAAAACCTACCGCTAAAACCCGCGAGACCAGTACTTACGTTCCTCCGTTCCTGAAAATTTTAACCGCGTTCCGATAAGGAAGGACGGTGAACGGATCATGCCCTGGTGCCCACTGGTCACCTCTGCCATTGCAGCCCCGTCAACATTTCAAAGTTTAGATTGTTGCGAACCGGATTGGATATTGTTGATGTTCAGGTACGAGTGCGTAGCTATATGTAAGCCGTCATCCAATAGTGCGTGGTATTCCGTTGCAGACGAGTATAACGTGGTATTTCTCTCATCCAATAGGAATTTCCCAATGACATGTCAGAATAAATGCGCATTGCGTGTCCCACTAAATGCCAAATTAATTGTTGATCTATCGAAACCTTCGAAATGACGCCTGGGTATTTGTGTGGTGCCTGTTTTGCATATCAACACATTTTGTGCTGCGCAATATTTAAATGGCATTGATTCAAATGCAAATAAAAAACTATTATTTCCTTCCTACTTTATACCTTCTGACCGTTCCTGGTCAAAAACGGCTATTTTTTACCACGCAGCAGCATGTGAATTGTGAAAGTTTGTGGTAATTTCGGATCAATTTGATACACCTTCCCTACCTCAATGTTTTAGAAATTGACCGGAGTCACATGTGTGTTCGTAGTTACCTACAATATCTCGATGTATGTACATATATGTATATTATGAGATGAGTCCCGAAATATAATGTTCTTATACAACAGAAGATACCAACGCCGTAAAACATTCACTTCACGCCATAAAACTCATGGCAGTCAATTACATTTTATTTAGCAAGAGATGGAGACATTCTACGGAGAGAATGACATGTTTTGCGGCATCCATATTGATATTGTTACACTGTAAAAAATATTGACGAGCTATGTGTCAAAACAAGGGTCTCGAAACAGTCACCAGGTTGTCAATGCTTCCGGTACCTACCACTTGACTAGTTACCGCTTAGTTAGCTTACAGGCTGAGAACTATCCAGATCGTTATGATCCGGTATTGTAATGATACCCTAGGTGTACCTTTGTTTTGAAGTGCTGAATTAACTATCAAGGTTGTTTGACGTTTGTTTTCGCCTCAATCCGAAACGAGGAAGACCCTCATCAAATTATTAGGTGAAAGCCAGCCTCAGGATGATCAAAATACTAGGGGTAGTTTTGTTATAGTAATCTGTGAAGGGTGAGGAACAAGCCGTAGCAATGCACTCGTCACTAAACCAGCCTGAGATTATTCGCCTGGTAGCTGCTGCGTTTCCCTACTTGCTTAATCATGTTTGCAACTTTCCATTTCCAGACACTTTTTACGGCAAATAAATTGTTGGGTTATTTGGATGGTGAATGACAATTTTATTTCTATAAATTAATACATTTGTATTTCTGATTGCCCTAAAACTTTTTTTTTTAATCGTTTGCGGTAGGTTTTTATTGTTCGCAATAAAGTTGCGCACCTGTGAATCCTTCACTTAATGCGTTCCCGGCTTCCCGGCGCCAGTTGCGCTGTGCCGTGCCGCGTTCGGTCGTGGGTGCGTGCGTCTGTGCAGTGCGAGTGTTTATCACTGGGCAAACCTGTATCGTTTCCATTTGTGCAGTGTCTAGTTATGAAGAATTGCTTGCCGATATATGACCTGCAGTGATCGACGTTCTGATTCAATAACTTGCCATAAGCCATTAACTATTCTCAACCAAATCGCGCAGAGACGTTTGCAAAGTTGTCGAGGGGGAGGGGAACAAGAGCGATTTTAAATGAATTGCTCTCCATGCAGTGCAATAGGACTTAGGTTTAATTTTTCGAAAGTTGTGGAGCCGCCCCCGGTGTCCGGCCTGGCCAACTCTCTCAAGAACCGACACCTAACGGAACACTGAAGTTTCACTACGACGATTTCCGCCAAAGTTATGAAGAAAAGGCAAGTGCAAGAAGTACAAAACTTCTCTTGGTAATCAAAACTTAGGTTTGGCAAATTCCAAACCCTAAGTCACTACAACTGTGGATATAAATAAGCTGGTTATTGACGGCCAAGCTCTGGCCAATCTGAGGTTCAGACCTATCATCAAGTTCATGAGGCAGCTGCGGTTGGGCGGCTCACGGGCTCCACTGCATATAGGCTCAGACAGGTACTCTACAAAATGTCTTCTGTGTTCTTAGGTTCAGATATATCGATAGGTATGTGCATGCTTCTAATTCGATTGATAACTGTAAACGGGCGCTGGAAGTGAAGGGTTTGCTTGATATACGAAAGGTGCATTGCAAGAAAGCACAATATTTCAGAAATACACTTTCATTTTATCTTGAGCGTTTTTGGAATGGGCCGGATGAATTCGTCATCAAACTGGTAAGGGATTTCGTTTGAAGACCACCGATATTTAATAATATGATGGTCTTCAAACGAATTCGCTGGCAAATTCGATGAATGGATTGGGCGGCGTAGGATCTGCTGGTCATCTGACTATGGGTTGAGCAATACGTTAGTTTTGACCTAGTTTGAGCTTCATTCGTTAAGTAGGAACAAGACGATGCTTCTTTTGAGCATCGTCACTAAACAAGCCGCCCTCGTTTTGACATTGTTTTTCGTTATTATTGTTACTAGGTACTTTGTTATCATACACAGCATTAACGAGGACCTGCTTCCAAAACAAGGCAGAAACGCTCCAGCTATTTTTGGGACATGGTAAAAACTAACCGACACCTGGTAACTGTCATCTGACGAACACAAAACAAGCCAGGGGCTCGCAGCGTGTGTCAAAAGTAGGATGCAAAACTAGTCTGTACCCCCGACATTTAGCGTTGAGAATCATTTGACGAGGGGCTAGTCAATATTTTTTACAGTGTATGTAACAAAGGTGATAGGATCCTTGCTTTCATCCACGCAGTGCGCCTTTTCTTCCAAGCATTAGGTAAGTTTTGCTGAGAGCATACCGGATGCCGATCCTTGCTTCACACACAATACATGCGCGTCAACATTGATGGTTAGGTCTGCGTCTGTAGAGCCTTCTCGCCTTTTCAATCAATATGGAAGTCTTTACATCCACATTGCACAATGCTAGGGAAATGTAACACCGCCATGAACTCTCATAGATACTTTGTTATATTGTATAAACAGGGGCACCATTGACGCCTCACCATACATGGGGGTATCTGTATATTCAGGAGCCCTAATATAATTCACCGCCGTTGGGTCAGCTGCGGCGCGCAGGTGACCTTGGGTTTGTTGAACTGACGGCACCGCGGTCAGTGAAATGGACCGCGCTGCAGACAATGCAACAGACCACGCCAATGCCAGCCTCAGACCATGCCAGGGCCAGCCTCAGACCACGCCAGGGCCAGCCTCGGACCCTCCTCGCGGGCTCTCACGACGAGGTCGGCTCGCGACCGCCCCCGGTTCATGTGGCGACTCCGCATCGGTGTGAAGCGAACTCGGTCTCAGGGGCCGGTGACGGAATTTACCAGTGGTCGTTCACTCGTTTCATGCTTTCAATTTGGGCCCGTCGGTTGGCAGGTCATCCCTGTGATTCCCGTCGGCAGGCCATTTCTGTGCCGTCGCCCGTCGATCCGCCGGGTCTTTCCTATACGCCGTTTGTCCGTCGGTCCGTCGGGTCCTGTCGGTCCCTGTGCCATTCCTGTGCCGTCGGTCCGTCGGCAGCGGCTCGACTGTTCGAGGATCGGTGTGACGTTAATAAGCGGGCGGTGCGGACGGGGCGGGGGGCGGCGGGCTGCGCTCAGTAGCTGTCGGCGTCACTGTCCGGGTCCGAGAGGGCCAGTCCGTAGGCGGTGTACAGGGGCTGCTCCAGGTCGACGGCCACGCGCCGGCTGCGGTCCATGCCGAGCGGTCTGCGGGCGGACCGGGGACCTGTCACTCACACATGGTCCCGGCCGAGACCGGCAGGCGCAGCTGCCGCCGGGCGAGCTCCGGGAACAGCTCCGAGCCGGACTCTAATACAGTCAGCAGAGGGCAGAGCAGTGGAACAATGCCACAAAGACCGAGATTGTATGAAATCGCTGCTCAGAGTGGCCCTTAAATGCCGGATGGCTGTTATATTATAAAAGGTCGGAATTTCTTTGCTGAACATAATTGAAGGTAAAAATTTTGCAAATGCAAATGTGTGAGGCATACAGCAAACACCTAGCGGCTGTCGACTTAAGCTTCATATATGAAGCTGCCGAGTAAATGAGTATGGATGGAAACAGTAATCCTAAAGGATTACTTTTTGTCTATAAACAAAAAGAGGACGACTGTCACCGGA